ATATAATCATCATAAATGATAAATAAATCAAATTTAAATGCAGTTTTGAACGATTTGTATTGAAAATCTTAACAGTAGGCCGATAAATTTTATTATGCCTATTAATTATGCTAATTAATTATGCAAATTAATGTCCAGTCAAATTGATAAGATGTCCGACCAAAATGAAGATTTGAAAGGACACATGTCCTGTTAAAGAAGAAAAATTATTTCCAGCACTGAATTTAAGACCGCTCTATTTCCAAACATGATGACGTTCTAGGGAGCCGGATTCACTAGGGCCCAGTCGACACTACACCGGAGAAATTTGCAAACGCAGCTTTATTTATAAGCTTAGGCCTATATCGTCCACATGCAGTAATCCGTCATGAAAACAAAGCTTTTCGAAAACGCTCTTCAAACCGGAGGAATTTGAAAATGCCGGCTTTGCGTTTTAGCGTTGACGGAAAACACTTTGAAAACGGAGCTTTTCGAAAACGATGACACCACGATAGTAATGTGATTTCCTTTCCCTAGTTTTCCTCAAACACAAATCCAAAATGACCGGTTATTGTTGCGTTTTCAAATGCAGTCCGGCGTAATGTGGACAGAAAACATTTGATGCGTTTTCAGAGTGAAACCTCTGTTTACAAATTCCTCTGGCGTAGTGTGGGTGGGGCCTCAGTCGCTCTTAAGAGTGAATGGTTACTTACGCCAAGCGTGTTCCAAGATTGAAATACGAGTTTGCGTGATAAGGGTCATACTTTATGGCTTGATAGAAGTGCTTCATAGCTTCCTGCAAGCATAAAAAATAACACAGATATATATATCAAATACGATTTAACTGTTTTTGCTTTGTCTGATGTCTTACATGTCGAAAATTACTTTAACAACAAATTTGTGTGCTGTCTGGGGACAAGGGCGTACCTCATTGTTTTCCAAAAGAGTACCAAGGTTGTTATGAGCACTGACGTGATTTGGAGCCAACCTGAAATCGGGAAAACAAAAAAGACACGGCTATTGTTATTTATCAGTATAAATCTACTAGCGTTCTATCACGAATGTCGTTCTCTGATTGGCTACGCTACACACTATCTATTCTGTGATAGATAGGGAGTAGCGTAGCCGTGTGCCCTTTATAACAAAATGACGGCCGCTTCTTGGCGTTTTCGAAGCATCTGTGAAGAAATTTAGAAGTAATACATCAAACACGAAAGACCGTGTTTGACCACATTTACAAACGCCGAGAAGAGAGTTAAAAATACGACGCGCAGCGGAGTATTTTTGACGAACTCCGAGGTGTTTGGAAATGTGGTCAAACACTGTCTTGAGTGTTTGATATATCTTCTGAATCAAAACTAAAACTAAGGAGAAAACGGAGAAATAAAATCGTAAAAATCTATGCTAATTAAGATCAGATATCCAAACACCGTCACGGTCATGAATTCCTTTGTTTAAACTTGATGAATTATTAATGAGTTTGAGAAAAAGTTTTGAACGACTAGTAGATTTATACTCAAACAATTAGATTATTCGCTCTCGATTTCTATGCGTGATAGAGATCTCGAACTCATAATCTAATTGCTCAATAGAACTTTCCAAGTGTCTTTCTCCACCCCCCCCCCACCCCCCGCCTTCATATACAACCCAAAATGCCGTTCCGCCTGAGCTCTGTTTACAAGGCTACTGAAGCTACCAACAGGACGTGACATTATCTCCAGCAAGCAATATAATTTAGAACGCACACTTTATTTA